ATGAGGCATTAAATTATAGTAGATTCTGCAATTTTTTTGTTATCTATACACATGGGAATTAGTTCAAAGCTATTCCCATTGAGTTCCAGTCCGTTTCCCATGATTAAACTAGTCGAGTCCGGCATAACTCCATCTTGCATTATTTCGCCATGCCCGATGATACACGTCGCGTTCTGAAGCCGCATTTCCGTCCCGTGTTACTAGTGTTACTCGGCGCCTCTTCAAGTGCACAGTTTACAATGAAACTGTTAACGGTCTGTAATGTGCAGTGATGGACGTCCTCACACACATGCACGTGTGATGTCGTATATCAGAGCTAAACCACACACATACTCACTTACTCTCTTGTATATCTCGATGTATGGATGTAATGTTAACCCTCGGTTTTTGTCATCCACTTAAAACACTGCACCACTCTGTGGAGAGCGTGACTGTAAATGTCCACACTCCTCGCCACTCTGTGCAATTGGCTAGTCTTACAGAAGGCATGGCCCATGACTGACCGTCTGTGAACGACTATCACATGTTAATGTCTCGTTGCCTAAGTAACATGTCGTGGAGGATTATAGGGGTCTGAAGTTAAGGTCCACGTATAAGTGTCATTAATATGTGTGTGAAGTCTTAAAAGTCACGTTGAAGGAAAAATGTTTCTTGGCAATGGATTACAAACGCTTAGTATCCGTGTTATCGCCGCTTCGCTTATCACCAAAACCCAAATTGTCTGCATAGAAACTCTAGACCTTTAACTTTAAAACTGACTATAATTTAATCGCTTGGAACGGGACATATGGGAACTATACAGAGGAATGTAGAAGCAAATGGAAGAATTTTTTCAAACAGATAGTAAATTATATCCTAAATTTTGCACCGATATACCAAAAGTTGCGAAGAAACATATCAAAATTCAACAGGCAATGGCTATCACACTCGGCCCGCGCCGTATCATCAAAACAGAGCATAGCAAAATAAACGCAAGAGAGAAAAGTATTTATTGTAGGAAAAAATTCCAATCAACATTTTTGGGTCAGGGTACTGAAATCTCATGTTCTCTTCTCTCTCAAACAATAAGACAAAGATAATGTATCTGAAGACTTGTTAGACTGATAACATAACATCAAATATTTTAGGTGTGGTGAATATTAAATAAATACTAAGAAAAGTTATCTATAATTCTATGGTCGGTGAGATTTGTAGTGCGGTCCGTTTGGCAAAGACAGGTTTGCGGCTACAACATCAGGGCCAATGAGGGGTGACAAATACATTTGGCCAATATGTAAAGTCCATCGGAATAGTCTACATTTTCCTACTTCGATTTTCGTAGTCCGAAATTTAAAATCACTTCTGATCTCAGAATTTTCACATCAGTCAGTATGAACGGCTAGAAGAAGGAGTTTGATGTGAGCGTGAAACAGAAACCTTTGTTTTCCAGTCACAACCTTCGCGAGGCATGGTAACTGGAACACACAATGCCACTTCGTTCCAACTGTTAATTTGCGCTGCCCGACCCTTGAAGAGGTGTTGCATTTTTTCTCTCGTACTTATTACCATTCCTAAGTAATAACCCATAATTATAAAGAATGTCCGTCAAAGTGACTCGTAGATATTAATCATTATGACTGATATATCTAGGAAATATAACAGTTTGTTTTCAATTAAAATAAATGTAGGCCTGCAAAATTAAAGACATGTTAAGAATGGAAATAATAATAATTTTTCGACGCTATCCGTCGTCTTATGTTCTACAAACAAAATACTACATTTTTGGAGCTGTGTCTGCAGACAGAAGCAGATACACCCCCCTTAAAGGCAGTTGTCTGTTCTTAAAACATAAGAAGATGGATACGCCCAAAAAATATCAATTATATTTTAATTCACCGTTGTCACTGCCCTTTAGGTCTATTTAAGAAATGATCATTCTGGTACAGAAGGTGTTTGGACAGTGTAAGAGATTAAACGAGGCAAATGGTCGAAGAATGTAGGAAATCTGTTTAGTCGGATACTAGAATTTATACTTACGTTAATTTAGATGTTTTTAAGCAAACTATTAATTCTGAAGTGTCAGAAAACGAAGCATGGATGATAGCAGTCTAGGCCTATCTAAGACAGACAGAAGACTTGAAAGGATAATATTAAAAGCGACGAAGAAATGGAGTGTGAAGTTGCAGACTACATTCAACAGGCTCAAAACAGATTCTAATGACGGAAATTTTAATAAGGAAATGAACATCTGGAAGCGCTACTTTCTTCAGCAGCTGAGTAAATTTCGAAAGGTGCCAGGAAGAGCAGACTGCACCTCAAATGGAAAGAAGTTTCGCGCACGCTCCTGTGATTTCATCCGGCTGCCACGTTCAGTTACCGGAGTTTTCTCAAACCGTGCGACGTAACGAGAAGCACACACGTACTTTACAATGCTAATTGGTTTACGCCTTATTCCCGAGCATCATCCACCCGCTTAACAAGTGAAAGACTTCCACTCAGTTACGATATATTTCTCTCTTCTCGAATAACTTACGGACTCTGATACATTCCACTAACGTAACGAAAGCCTTACAGTAGATAAACGTCCTTTTGATGAAGTCTGCTTTTTCTAGAATATAATTAAGATTTGGAATAGACAAGAGATCTCTGCCCCTAGCGATTCTGGGGACTTAGGAGCCAGAAAGACGTGTAATTAAAGTTATGTGATGATACTTTTCCACACAGTTAATCACAAGGTTTACAGGTTTGTGACTCACTGATTAACATGCCTCCCGCATTAACGGAGAAAATTCTTCAGCTTGAAGACAGCCTACATAATTTTTATACTTCTACACTTCCCACTGGACTGTTATGAAACATCAGGAGCTGCATATGTAGTAGGCCTATGAATAAACTAACAGGAAATTCATACAAAGATTTAAAAGTTGGATAAACGGTATTATGAAACAAAGAAACTATACAGTGAATGGGATAAGAAACCGTCACCATACTAAACTGAAGATTGTCACTTTTAATTTTAAGTCTATAACCTTTAATTCCATGAAAAGATACGAGCGTTAGCCTAATAGTTTACCATAAACACAGTCCAAATATCGAGTTAAATAATATTCAGATTTAAAAAATATCTCCTTAATATGAATAACACCGAGAGACTTTTGGCAAGTACTGTTTGTTAAGTAACTGTAAGGTCTTATAATGTTATGAACGCTCTACGGTGTTTGTCGTGTTACGTAATTGAAAACGGGACGCATATCAGTGTCTATTAATAATCAATTAGTAAGAAACACATTTATCGCAATGTTTAAAGATGATCTAAGCAATCATATTAATTACAAACAAGTTGATTTCAAAAATTAAGAACAACGTGGACAAAGATTAATCAAACAAGGATCATTCTATTTGACATAAAACTATGGGCTACATGAAAGTCTGCCATGTCTAGTTTGCAGTGCACATATGAGAACTGTTTATTGATTCATCAGTACTTTCACTCTCAAATTCTTAAATTATAAACCGACTGGAAGCCGTCAATTGCCTAATCTTCTTAGTTCATGTACGGATTACAGCTGGCGCTTTCATGGTATTGGGGTAACAGGAATTAATGACCACAATAACAGCATAAAGGACCTTGAAGAATACATTTATATATTATATAAGTAGCTTAAATAATATAAATTGTCAAAATAGTCTGGAATCAACAACGATGCTTTTTTGTAGTATGTCGCTAAATAAAATCTGTACGATTGGAGGAAAATGTGATTATTTTCCTGTGTTGGCGTGATGACTGGACCCAGAAACAACAACAAGAATTATCTGAAAAGTATTTCAATTAAACATAAAGCCGTTGGAGAATTGTAAAGACGTTTAAATTAGTTAAACCGTCGAAGAGAAACCACGATCAAATTGCCCTAGATCCTAAAGAGAAGTTCATAAAATTTTCGCTGTGAACGTGTTCGAAAGTTCCGAAAAGGAAGTGGATTTATTTCTTGGATCACACCAGGTCACAGAGTTAAAAAATGATGTATAATGTACCTCATTCGTTGCGTCCTGTTGCTAACTAAATCATATTATCTTAAGAAGTAAGAGCTTCTGTGATGTCACCGGAAATAACACAATCATAAAGAAACGAGATGAACAGCAACACAGAAGACTTTAATCCTCCTTACAGGAATGGTGTTCGAGACCAGGCAATTTCGTGTATTACCAACATCCAGATATTATAAAAGCATTTCTCCATAGGCCAATTACTTTTTCATGTTAACTGTCTGCCCTCAACTGATTATAACATTATAACTGATTATAAATTCGCAATTTCGTGGTCTCTCTGTATCCCTTTGGTATGTAAAGGAGTGAAATATTTGGGTGTCTGCTAGCTGAACCTAGAAGAAGGTATACTGGAAAAACTTTGGTAATACGTAAAATGTGACGGGAATGTAGCAAGTATGAGAGATATAAGGAATGATTACAACATTTTAGTCAGGAAACCGTGAAGGGAGGAAATGTGACGGGAATGTAGCAAGTATGAGAAATGTAAGGAATGATTACAACATTTCAGTCAGGAAACCGTGAAGGGAGGAGACCACTTGGGAGATCTAGGCATGAACTGGAGGATAATATTAATGGCGATCTTAACTAGGGCGTGAGGGCATGGGTTGTATTATCAACCATGTTACCGTCAGATGTGACGTGCTGTGTCTAGTATTGATTCCAACGGTATTTACGAAACATAATATTTCAAACGTCAGAAAAAATTCAGCCTACTAACGGTTCTCCAAAAATAAAACTGGCAGAATATTTCTCTGCAGTTTTGCCGATTACCCAGTAACCATGTGAGATATGCGACGACGCGTTATGCCCTCTCTTAGGAACCACATAACTGACAAAACTAACCACGTTCCACCTGCTAGGATGCTGTAAACGTGACCTAGAGGGTGCCATGTTTGGTGCACGGGCCACTGTTTTATTTTCTCGTGACGCTGGAATGACCAAGTCGGTCGTGGTTGCTCAGTTGCCTGGTAACACTCGCAGCGTCTACAACAATCTTCTTGAAGTAGAGAAAGAACGTCCTTAACCAGCAGCTGTACTTGCCGAGACCGACCTAGGTAGAGGCGGGCAGGGCGACAACACCGAGTTCCTGTCGATTCACTCTCGAGCGAGACAGAAAAGCATCAAAACAGAACACGCGCGAGCTGAGCCAACGAACTGTAAGTAACACAGTTTTTGTCAATTTTGGGGGAGGGGGTAGTAAAGAGGGAGGACGTGGACCCTTTGAAATTAAATACGCTTATTCATTTTTCTTTTAACAATAACAAATTACTTTTATTATATTTCACGCTGAAAGCATAATTGGTTTAAGACAATTATCACGATTATCTCATGCTGCTAACAATATTTGGGAAAACACATTTAACGTTCTTTAACATTTTTTATTCCCAAATGTACAAACTAGAATATAGTTTTGTTACTCTCACACAACCACTCCAAAAAGCAGCAACTTTTCTGTTTGTAAAGATAAATATTACCTAACACTTCTCAAGGATATTTAGATTTTAAATTATTTATAAAATGTTTATCTGAAACGACTTAAATCAATGTTATTTCGTCCACGCCATGGAAAAGTGATTAAATCAAATGACATTTAGTTAAGCGATGTATCAAACTAAACTGGTTCAGAAGCACGTGCAGAAGAAGTCACTAAGTAACACATCGAAATTTTACCACTGAAACACAGTTCGAAATTTCCACAAGTGTTGTTCATATGCAGCTGCGAGAACTTTGAAGCTCGCTTCCCTCGAAACCTTCTAAAATGCAGTAAGTGACTTCTCACAGACACCGACAATTTATCCTGTGTCGGAGTTTTGCACGTGATCGTCCTGAAAACCAAGTTTTTTTTGGCACAAGTGAAATTTCAATTTCGTCCTCAATACCATCTTCATAGAGTTCAGAACTGAGGTTTGCACGGAAATTTCAATTTCGTCCTCAATACCATTTTCATAGAGTTCAGAACTGAGGTTGCACAACGGAGAAATAAGGTCGATTTATATATCTCTATCTATTCGAACTTCGTTGTTATAAATACAATTTCAATTGTTTTCTCAAATATAAATAAGGTCGATTTATATATCTCTATCAATTCGAACTTCGTTTTTATATATACAATTTCAATTGTTTTCTCAAATAGACTTGCCAAGAAACGTTTACGTAAAAATCAAATATACCTTGTGGAAGCAGTTTTCGTCTTGAGAGTAACAAATTTAGAAGCTACCAACAGTTCCAAAAACGAATTTCTTCTGCTGAATCTTTCATCTATTTATATTCTTGTGGTAAGAATTAATCCTTCACATTTAGCAAGGTCTACCTATCACTGCAACACCCCTCTATACCCACCTTTCAGCGACAGAAGGTACACGGAGAACCAGAAGAAATAAAATATTCCTGAACAATCACCTGAGTTAATCATCAAATAACAACCACGAGTTTATGACGACCCACCAGCTACAGACGCTGATGTCACGATGGAATTTTTTTTTAATTTGAACCCCCTCCATTCCTCCTCATATTGGAGAATGCCTATGTCATCCATTTCCAACTATACTTTCAAAAGGGTGTGTTTTTCTGTTAAAATAATTACCTTTTAGGTTGGTTATTGGTTTCCTCCCTTTGTAAGCTCCACCTCTTTTTATATCCCACTTCCAGATAATATTCTGTCCATATACCCTTTATCTCTTAAGACAGTAATACGTTCTGGAACGAGTAAACTAATACTCAGTGTCTTGTAGTTGCTGAAGATGAACATCCTCTCAGATACTGTACCACCGACTGAAACCTATTTACTTACGGCTAGATCCCAGCAACGTATTCTGATATAAAAATGTCCACGCTGTAAACAGAGCTGTGTAAAAATCGCAGCTAACTGTTCTACTTCTTTAATGCATTTTAAATAGAATTCGGAAGAAGAAAGTGACGTTGAAGGTGTAAGAAGATGAAGAAGGTGAATGATCGACGTTAGAAAGTGCACTGGTCTTTTTATTATTGTTTTCTTCTTTATCTTTAAAGGTAGTAAGCAGTGTTATGCATTGTAGGTTTATCTGCACGCCCAAGCAATTGAAATGCAAAATGTAGCGTTGAGGAAGACTTGAGCGGCGAATAATAAGTGGAACTGCCGCCCGCCAAGATGCTGGCAAAGTGACACTGAGTGTGGAATCGTGGCCAAGAGACTGCAGACTGTGACGAAATAATCCGGAAAGATTCCGTGCAAAAGTAGGCCTATGTAGGTTCCACGACCAAGTACGTGCATTAGCTTTCCGCTATTGTTTATGGCTTTTGCGTGGAATAAATATAATATTATGGACTGTCTCTTCTTTCGAAATAAGTCTTACTGTCATTTCAACGTTATATTCGTTGTGAAAACGCACGCAATACATGTTCGCTATCTCGAAAAAAATTCTTTAAAGAATTTTCACATAACGTAAAATGTTAAACTCAAAGTAAGATATTTGAGGCCGACATCGGTATTAATCTCATTTAAAGCTTCAAAAAATTTATGTGCATATATTTTATTAAATGCTGTAATGAAAATTTAATATCGTCAAATGGCGATAAGAATAATAATTATTTGAAAATTCTACCAAAAATTTGTATATATTAAAGATAACATTGCGATTAGAGGTTTAAGTCGAAAACTGTCAAGTAGATCCAGTTACGGTCTGTATACTATCAGCCCTTCTTCATACGAAAGTAGCAGTGAGTGA